TGGTAGAAAAGGGGATATAGTTTCCCTTCTAAATTCTACAGGAGAGGGGCCTAAACCCATTCCAGGATTAGGTCCTCTTTCTCCTCCTCTTCCTCCTCCTACGACCTATGAATAGTTCTCTTAGTTGAGCAAAGCTTTGTCCAACACAGATCAGCAAAGGCAAAGGATGTGTGAATGAGCAAGCAGGATGTCCCAGTCATAACACAGAGCGTCGTTTCAAAAATCCAAAGGCCAGGCCACGCACGGTGACTCATGCCTATAATCCCAGCACTTTGGGAGGCTGAGGTGAGAGGACAGACTGAGCCCACAGGATTGAGACCAGTCTGGGTAACTTGGTGAGACCCCATCTCTACAATAAGTCAAAACATTAGCCAGGCGTGGTGATGCATGCCTATAGTTCCAGTTACTTGGACGGCTGAGGCAGAAGGATCACCTGGGCCCAGCAGGTCGAGGCTGCGGTGGCCATAAGCGTGCCACTGCTCTTCAACCTGGGCAACAGAGTGAGACTCCAACTCAAAAAACAAAAAAACAAAAAAACAAAAAAAATCTAAAGGTCTAGGTGTATAGCAAACATTTCAGGGGCTGAATATAACCACTCTATAGCTCTATGTATTCAAACAACTCTGATTTGAATACATATGGCTATGTGAAAACTGCATATTCTTATAAGATCACGATAATTCTCTTAGTTGTCTTAACAAGAAGTAACACAAAAATTTTCCAGTTCCCAGAACTCAGGCAGAGACCACACCTGCTAACTCAGACTGAAACTCAGTGCTTCCAAGCAGCAGCATATTCTTAAGGCTTGTGACGATGCTCCCTACTTTCCATGAGTAAATACTTAAAAAAATTGTGATGTGGCATGGGAAAGACTGCCTTGATTATGTCAACTCCTTCCTCTGTAGAATAGGCTCAGTAAGAATGCGCCACTTGTCTTACAAGGTTGTTGAGGACCAAATTATGGGAAAATGCTTTGGGAACCAGAAGGGGCACAAACATGTTAGCCACAGTGGAGCTCCTGATTCAGCCATACTCGTGTCTTCCACACAGGAAGGGACTAGGGAGCTGGCATCCACGGCAGGCCTTCAATAGCCATGTGATCTCACTCAGTACTACCTTAGGGCGTGGGTAGACAGGTGACATTCTACATCTAGGGCTGACTGAGGTAAAGTAACTGACCTAAGTGAAGCCACCTAGAAAGTGGTTGAGATGAGGGTTTGAGCCAGTGTGTTCTCAAAAATCCCAGGTATTCTTAGCACTAGCTTCATACCTAATTAATTCTGTAGGTCTCAAAAAGAAAAATGAATGACAGTAGTTGGTGTTTATATAACCACACTCATTTCAGCACCAGCTCATACTCAAACTTTATATGGCTCCAAGGTATCGTATAAAGTGTGTTAAGCCTTCCCAAAGGGCTAACGCCAGGGAGGATGAAATATTCAGTACCGTAGTGTGCTGTGGAGCCCAAGAAATAAAAACAAGGGCAGAGACAATAACTCACAAAAAAGTACAAAAATAAAACCTCTATTGTCCTGCCTGCCCCAGCCGCCTTCAGGCACAAACAAGCCCCGATAACTGTTGATTGTGATGCAGTGGGCTAAGAGAAGCTTTGCTGTTGCTGTTGTCCTTTGGTCTCACTGTCTTAGTCCATTTAGTGTTGCTATGAAAGAATGCCTGAGGCTGGGTGATTTATAAAGAAGAGGCTTGCTTGGCTCATGGTTCTGCAGGCTGTATGGGACCTGACACCTGTGTCTGGCGAGGGCCTCCACCCGTGGTTCAAGGTGAAGGGGAGATCACGCAGAGAGCCAGTGGGAACAAGAGAAAAGTGGGAAGGTGCCCGATTCTTTTAAACAGCTCTTGGGGGGATCTCTAGGGGGAATTAATAGAGTGAGAACTCACCCACTCCCTCTTCCCTAGAGAAGGGCAGTAACCAGTTCATGAGGGATATGCCTCCATGACCCAAACAATTCTCATTAAGCTCCACCTCCAACACTAGGGGTCAGATTTCAACATGAGGCTCAAAGAATTCAAATATCCAAATCACGGCCCTCACCTAACATCACTCACAAGATGCAAACTTTACTGATCATAGACTGGAGTTGTCCATTTAGCTATAAGGACAGCACAGTAGCCACATGACTGATTTTTCCTGAGTGTGGGGCACCATGGTAGGATGGAAAAAAGGGCATGCACACAGGGGTTGGAGAGACCTGGGTACACACTGTAGCCCCATCAGTGATGGTTATCCTGGGTCAGTGCTTACGCATCTGTAACGCTTCTTTACTGCGAAGCATTTACCTCTGGAACAAATGAGAGGTTGCAGGTATACAACCTGCAGACGCTTGTGAATGCACCAGCATTCAGGAGGGAGCAGCTTCTATGAGAATGATGACTCACAAACTGGTTAATGTCTACTTGTGTTTAATTGTTTTGTTTTTATGAACAAATAGATACTCTTTGTAATAGACTAAGGATAAATACAAAACGTATTATTTTTTCCTTTGAGAGGCAGAGCCTAATTCCCCTTCCCTTAAATCAGGGTTGATCTTACGTCTCTGGCCGACACAATGTGGTGTGAGTATTGCTTCAGGACGTCCAAGCCTAATTTCAGGAAGTCTTTTCAGTTTTGTAAGATGCCCAAGCCTCATGCTGGTGAGCTCCCGGGGAGAAGTCTGAACACCCTAAGTTTGCCATGCTGTGAGGAAGCCCAAACTTGCCCTGTGAGAAGGGCTGCTGCCGGTTGCCCCCAGCCACAGGCTCATTCCAACCCAAGTCCCAAATACAGTACAGCAGGGACAGTAGTCTCTGCCAAGCCCTGCTCAAACTGCAGATTCATGTACAAAATAAATGACTGTTATTGCTTTAAGTCGCCAAGTTTTAGACTGGTTTGTTATATAACAATGAATTATCAGAATACTCAATCATGTTTTTTTTTTCCAAATTAAAACTATCAGTTTGCTGAATTACACACAATTAAGTTTATGGCCTGGTTCGGTGGCTCAGTCTGTAATCCCAGCACTTTGGAAGACTGAGACGAGTGGACTGCCTGAGCCTGTGGGTTCAAGACCAGCCCGGGCAACTTGACAAGACCTCATCTCTACAATAAACAAAAAATTAGCTGTGCATGGTAGCGTGCGCCTGTGGTTCCAGCTACTTGGAAGACTGAGGTGGAAGGATCGTCAGAGCCCAGCAGGTCGATGCTGGGGTGGCCATGAGTGTGCCATCGCCTAGGCGAGGGAGTGAGACTCCAACTCAAAAAAAAAAAAAAAAAAGTTTATGTTGACTCTTTAGTTCTCAAGTCTATTTCAGACATGGCAAAAACCTTTTGCTTGTGGGCAAATATAGGCATAACTTAATAACTGGCTGACCAAAGATATATATACACTACTGTGTGTGTATGCATGCCAGTAATCAGGTTTAGTGAGTGCTGCGACGTCCCTCCTAACCAGCAGGAAATACCTATCACATTTCACAACAAGCTTTGTGAACAAGGTGTTGAGACATGAGTGATTTCTGTAGCTGTCCAGATAATGTTTGAAACCCCCTCAAGCATTCAGTTCCTCAGTTTAGGAGGATGCACCTAGTCATACTGTAAGACTTGTCTCTGCACCACAGGATAACTTACTGATGCCTTTCCAATAACATATGACCTTAAAATATTATGGCAGACTTAGGGTACACCATCAATGTAAGTGAACTCAACAAACATTGTGCTACCTCCCAAATCTGCTATGCCGCTTTTAATGTCCTTTTTCTCCTTCTGCACAGCCTCTGAGGAGTGTGTATGCATGTGTGTAAAATCCCATTTATCTTTCATATGTTTCCTCTCCCATCAAGGCAGAGTTAATCATTCCTTGATGACAATGCCTCTTCAGTCTGTAAAGCCTTTTCTCTACCTAACATTAGCTTATCATTAAAAAAAAAAAAAAAAAAAAAAAAAAAAGCGAACCCACAGTCCCATAGAACACATGGAGAAAGAACACAAGAGAGTCCCTGTAACACTTGGCGACTTTCCACCAGGCTGAAACAGGCTGACGTGATATGTGTTTCAGGGATTAGAATTCAGTTGAAGAAACGAGTCAATTAAAACACCCGGTCAGGATGCTGTCTGTAGATAAAGTGCTTTGCACTGGGCGTACAACATAAGCTGAAATACTAAATCCTAAGAGCTGACTGGTTGGTGATTTGCATTTCAATCTCTTTCCATTCTATTTATTTTATTCTCTCAACAAAAGTTAAAAAGGAGCCACTCAGCCTAGAAAAGATAGGTACTTTATTTACTTCAAAAATGACCCAACAATGAACTCCCAGTTTTCCATCTCATTGGCTTTGGTTTGACCTGGAATGGGCAATGCCTGTTGTCCCAGGTGGGTCAATCAGAACATCAAACCTACCAATTGGTACTGGTTTTTACATTTGTTCACTAGCAATTCTAATCCCAAGGGATGTACAGTCACTACAGGCAACTGGTATTCTCTGGCATTATCCTCAAAACACAAAAACAACATGCAGAAAGTCATAATCAAACTCTCTTCATTCTACCACAAAACCAAGAAATTACATGTTTACTACTCATATTTGAGAACCATGTATGACTATGCATAACTTTCCAAGCCAAAGGTCATATAGTCACTGAATGGTAACCCATTTTGTGTGACAAAATACGGAAAACATAACTTACTATTTCCTTCCTATGAAGAACCAACAGAAGGTCACACTGTAAGATGCCAAGACCAAGGGCAATCATGTTCTTGATATGCATTCTCGAACTAACTATGCTTAACATGCCCATTTAGAGTTATTATAATGAGGTTTATGTTACAATTGATAAGCAAGGCAATACAATGGCTTGATACTTTATCTAGAAGAAGCAGAGGGAAAATTTACTGTCCTCCCTCACTGACCCGACCCTGGTCTTCACCCAGAAAGTCAATTCTTGGCACTTGGCAAACAATACCATTGACATATTTTCGGAAAGAAGAAATATGGTATGAACTTACTTAACAGTTGGCAATAGAGGGCCTGTAAGCTTCTCTTCATGGTATCATCTGGTCCTGCTTATCCTCCAGTTTATTCATGATTCTGTCTAGGAAATTGGAAGAAGAAAATAGTTACATCTGAAGAACATAATTTTAAGAACTCAATATGATCCTGGTTGTAAAGTCTAAAATACCTGACTTCGAAGAGGAAAAATCTTAGGATGAGCACACACAAAAGTTTAAGTTACAGTGATCTAGGTTATAAAATCACCAACTAATTAAATTGGTAAAATCTGGAAACAATGCACCCCACTGAAGGAAACTTGTCTGGGCAGCTAGCAAGTGAGAATTTGGCTTCAGAATTGAGGACTTCTCTTGAACCTCTCCTGAATCTCTAGTCTTAGAAGGAGAAATATTAGCCGGGTGTGGTGGCGCATGCCTGTAGTTCCAGCTACTTGGAAGGCTGAGTGGAAGGATCATCGGCGCCCAGCAGGTAAACGCTGGGGTGGTCGTGAGCGTGCCACTGCACTCCAGTCTGGTCGACAGAGTGACTCCAACTCAAAAAAAAAAAAAAGAAAAAATGAGAAACAAAAAATTTCTTTTCTAATCTCATTTCTGCAAAGTTCTCATAAAACAAGCAAACAAACAAACTAGAAAACCTCACCACACTTGAAACTGTATCATCAAAAAAAAAAAATTCCTATTATTTTCTGGTCACAGAGTATTGCCAAGTATACAATATTTGAAAGATACAGGTAAACAGAAAATATAGGTAAGAATAAATAAGAAAATATCTATACGACCTGTTAGTCCACCAATCAAAGGTGATTATTGCTCACATTTTGGAGGGAATCTCTCTAGTCTTTTGACTGTGCACTTTCTATTGGTCTGTTTCATTGTATGTATTTGACATTTTAATTTTTCTTCCTAGCAGCAGAAGCATTTTTCTGTGTTGTTACTATGCTTTACTATGTTATTTTAAATGGCAGGAAGCATTTCTTTAAAATAAATTTCTAGAAATAGAAATACAAGGACACAAATTAAAGCTTTTGAAATGAATGCATTGCTAAATCATTCTTCATCAATACCAGTAAATTAGACTAACCATCAGACTATATCCTACCCAAAGAGAAAATGTATAATTTCATCTTTGCCAAGTAAATAGGCAAATATTCCATTCCAATGCTTTACTTTGTATTTTAAGTGTTTATCAGTCATTTGTCTTTAACATTTTTAAAATTCGTATTCTTTAATCATTCTCTACTGGAATGCTGATTTTTTTCCCTGTGATATTCCATGTAGAACTGATTTATCTTAAAAAATTTTTATTGAGATATCATTAATATACAAGTTTCAGCCTTTAAAACATCCAGTCAGAATGCTATCTGGGTATAAGAAAGTGTACAAATCAGTGGTTGGTAGTATATTCAAAAGTGGTCTGGCCACCACTACCACCTAATTCCCAGAACATTTTCATCTCTCTGAAAAAAGAAACTCCCATGTTCACTATTGATCACTCCCCATTTTCCTCCCGCTAAGCCCTGAATACTCACTAATCTATTGTCTGTCTTTATGAATTTTCCTATTCTGGAAGTTTTATATAAATAGAATCATACAACATGTAGTATTTGTGTCTGGTTCTTTTATTCAGAATGTTTTTTTGTTTTTTTGAGTTGTAGTTTCACTCTGTTGCCCAGGTAGGAGTACAGTGGCACACTCATGGCCATTGCAGCCTCAACCTGCTAGGCTCAGGTGATCCTTCCACCTCAGCCTTCCAGGTAGCTGGAAGCACAGGCATGTGCAACACACCCGGCTAATCTGTGTGTGTGTGTGTGTGTGTGTGTGTGTGTGTATAGATGAGGTCTCACCATGTTGCTCAGGCTAGTCTCAACCCCCTGAGCTCAGATAATCCTTTTGCCTTCAGCATGTTTTTAAGGTTGTATAACAAGGTTTTTAAGGCTGAGTTTTCTTTCCCCCTTATTTTAAAATAAGAATGTTTCTCTCTCTCTTTCTGTTAGAAAGGTCTTCCTTAGACTCAGATTACATAAATACTTGCCTATATTGTCATTTGGAATTTTTATGTCATTTATTACATTCTAAATATTTTTGTATTCTTAGATCTGTTTCTGGACTTTGTGTTATGCTTTATTTTTCTGTTTGCTCATTCCTCCACTAGAACAATAAACATTTCAATTAAAGCACTGGTAGAGTTGGTTTTCTATTCTTACTCTTCTTTTTAAGATTGTGTTGTTCTTTGAGCTTGTTTTTTTCTCTCAAAAATTAACTTTAAGACCATTTTATAAAAGTTCAGAAAAGCGTCACTGGGATTATAGGTAGAATTATCTTCTATTTGCTTTATTAATTTGAAGAGACTTGATATCATCCAAATCCAAATGTGATGAGAAAGAAAATAAATATTTTAAAACTCGTTGCTCTGGCAATCAGAATTCCTTTCAGGGGCTGGGAAGTGCTCTTATTTTGGAGCAGACTGTGCAAGAGCTCAACAACTTTCTTGGTCAGGCAAATTAACTCCTTCTCCAGTGTGATCTGCATGAGTGAGAAAGAAAAAAGAAGTCGAAAAATTGGTCTTAGTTCTGAAATAAAAGGTGATTTGAGTTCCCAAAGGATAGGGCTAGCAAAAAGGAGTTAGAAGCTCTACAGATCTGAGAGGCCGAGGAAATGATAAGCAAGAGTGACCGAAAGATGGAAAGAGGCAATTCCAGAAGACGGCAGCAGGTGGAATTTAAGCATCAAGGATAACGTGAGAAAGTCCCCACAGAGGATCACCCATAAACATTAAGATGTGTAATGCTTTATCATTTGTACCTATATGCTACATCTGCATTCCTTCTCCCCCAGGATGTTCATTCACCACTAGTACTGTCAAAACCTCAGCAAAAGTTTTTTGGCACTAAACAGTCTTGTATCAGTGGTACCTGATGGGGGAAATCAAAAAGAAGAGATTATGTCTCAAGACGATATGACCCAGGAAAAGTCAGAGGCAACAGCCCCAGGAGCCATAAGCAATGGTTAGTGGGAGTGTTTAAGGCATAGTAAGCATTCAATACATGTTTAATAAATAAATAATGGGTACGTAAGTAAAAAAATGATCCATAACAGGAGAACAGAGAAATGGTTGTGGTTTTTATACTGACCAAGGGGAACATAAGCTCCTCAATCATTTCTTGGAAATGCTTAGAGATTTCTGAAAAAGTGACAGATCTCTCATAATACTTGGAATAGAGCCATCCTATTCCGTTATCAAAAACAAATGGGCCTATAAATCTGGAAGACTTGGGATTATCTGGGTTACACAGGATTATTTTAACTAGAGCACTACTTGGCTGTCTATTTATTCAATATTAATCTTTATTTAGGCATTTCTGTGGAGTTTAATAATGTTTTTCCTTCATTTAAGTTCTGCAGTTTTGCTGAGTTGTCAAGTTAATTTTTCTAGTTAATTCCTAGGCATCATATATATATACACACCTACATACATGTGATAGAATTGTTTCCATTATATCTTCTAATTTCCTGTATATGAAAATGACTAGCCGGGCTCGGTGGCTCAGCCTGTAATCCCACGCCTTTGGGAGGCTGAGGT